GCTAAAGCATATAAGTGAGAAGCTTCGTGAACATGAATTTATCACTAAACATTTTTATTTCTTTTAAAGTTTTCCATGGAGAGCACAATTCAAAATTAACATGTATAACTTTCTGCTTCAAGCAGTATATTTTGTTAGGCTGGAAATTCTCAAAGACCCTCTTGCCTAAAACCTAGACCTATAATAAATAAGGAAAAAAGCACATAATTTATTGTTTACAAATTTCCTACAAGTGAAAGTTTCTCAAATGTAAAACTTCCATAAATTGACATCAAGTTACCTGAGGTTAATACTAGAAATCACAAGCATGCAAAGAAAAAAATACAGAGAGAGAGGGAATTTTTGAAATTATTTGAATCCAAACATAAATATAGATAGATAGATAGACAGATAAATGGTTTAAAGCAAGACAAAGGGAACATGAAAGAAAAAAGTTTTTAAAACGATTGGGTACACATTAAAAAGAATTTTAAAAATAACACTAAGAAATGATAAAACTGTTCAAATTAAAATTCACTGGATAAAATGCTGCGCCCTGGACTCAACAGTGTAGCTTACATTCAACTAAATCTTCTACAAAGATAAGTTTAAAAATTAGAAATATATATACATATACATATATAGTGAAGGCATTGGAAAGCCAGTGTAAGCAACACTGAGCAGCTAGAATCCTTGAGAAAGGGAAGCAACAAGATGTATTCAACATTCACCTCGGAACTTTCCTGAAGGCATTTTCCAAATTGTGGTGAAGGTGAAAAGAGCCCAAGAACAAAGCAGGAGTCTCACACGTCAGAAGAGACAAAGTCTGGCATTTCAGGATGCCAAACTGGATACTATCTGAAGAGCAAACTAGATAGCATGAGGAGAAATGCCAGTTATAAATGATGGGGAGGAAGGCAGCAAATCACACTGCCATGTGTGTACCTATGCAGCAATCTTGCATGTTCTTCACATGTACCCCAAAACCTAAAATTTCAATAAAAAAAAAGAAAATTTAAAAAAATAAATAAAAATAAATTATCTTTTGGGAAAAAAAAAAAAAAGAAAGAAAGAAAAGACAGGAAGCTAAGAGAGTCCCCAAATCTGCATCCTCATTTGCCTCAAATTGTAGGTAAACTTCTGAATTGTGCATGTACAAGGGAAACCTTCAAAATATGTAGCAGGAAACAGCAAACAGCTCAAATGCTGAGCAGTAGTTTCAGCAGCTGAACGGCACTGTGGAGTTAGAGCTTAGAATTCAATCCAGAAGGAGTGTCCAGGACTTGGGCAAAGCCACTTTCTAAGATGAATGGTCACATCCTATAAGTAACAAGTTAAAAAGGTCAAGCATAACAAAGCTTAAAACCAAGTCTCAACTGGATCAAAATCATTCACTGAAGTGCTTTATAACTGAAACACAAAAAGCACTTTTCTGGGAACATCATATACAGAATGTACAGTAGCCATCTATATTCTGAAACTTGATTGAAAATTATAAAACATGCTGAAAATAACAACAGCAAATGACCAACATGAAGGGAAAAGGCGGGAAATTTAGAAATAAAAACAAAAAAGACGCAGGCTCTAACCTTCAGGAACTCGAGGAGGTAAGCGTGCAGCTGCTGCCATCAGAGCCTGAGCCTAAGCCTGACGCATCAGGTCTACGTCACTTCCTGCGCCCACGCGCGCACCCCGGCTTTGTCCCTGAAGTTTGGGCTCTGTGCTACTGAAGTCTCTGGCTCTTACGGTTCACGAGCCCCCGCCTCTATCCAAAGGCCTTTTTCCTGTGCTGTCTGCAAAGCCACCTTCTCCCTGCTTGCCCACCAAGTACGGCCAAGGTGGTTGACTGCCAGTTTCCACCTCCATAAAGGCAGCTGAACGTTTCATACTGGAAGTTCTTTGGCTGGCACTCCCACAGTTCTATGAAATAAACTTCCTTAAAGCCCTATGAAGTATGAAAGCTTTCCCCTGCTCTTTGGCTTGCTCTTTAAACAAATTTTGTTTGTATCGTACAGAAGAGAGAAAAGGCTGGCTTGCGATCGCATTATTAACCAATGGGGACATTGCAGTTCTTACCAGGAGATGAGCTATGCTTAGAAGACTCAGACTTTTTAGAAAATCATTTCTCCACTTAAAAAAAAAATGAAGGCGGGAAAGAAATTTCACAGTATACTGATGAACAGTCACCATGTTTATAGTTTCCATATGACTATTCTAAAATAAAACATTTGTCCTAAGACCTATATGGCAAGTCGGTAGATAAGAGGTATTTGCAAAATGCTACTTATTAGTATGCTAACTTGTATGAATTAATCCTAATGAATAATGAGGGTTGACTGGTCTTGCTTGAAATTGTGCCTGTGAAAGTTATAGCAGTCTTATTTGAAGTGTATTATGGTGCTCACTTGCTTAATTTAATCTTCAAACATTGTACTATGGGACAACTATAAAATATTAATGATATTGTTACCAAAATAAGAAAAAAATATTATTTTATTATGTCAAAAGTTTAAGATGTTCCACTGCCATTGTTCTAACTGTCCAGTGTATTAGCCCTTCTTTGATGTGCTTACGAGGTGAATCCATGAATTCCTTAAGCTTTCTGCCAGAATTCAAAAGGTCTAATTAAATGGTGAACAGTAAGTAGACTGAGGCAAATTTCCAGTGATGCTGTCATTTTTTCTGCTATGCCTTTAGCTTGATGATTACAACACAATTCTGTTTAAAACCAAATGGCATTAGTTCTTATCTATTCCCCAAATTGGAAATTTATTTTAGTCAATATTTCAAAGAAATATGAAGTCATAACAAACGCTATCATTATTTTTACTCTGAAGTGCAAAGAAGATAGAGAGATTTAGAACTAGCCATCATTTAATGGTGTTTAATGACATTTATTTTCAGTATATTTAATATGGGTCATTTTTTTTACCTCCTCTAAAGAGGAATAATGTTTATCGATTAAAAGTGAAAAATAATGGTTTAGACACCAATTCTTTTTCAAAATCTTTCACTATATTATGCATTATACAATGGATTTCATTCTTCATGAGATTTTTTAGTTTACCTAAAAGTAGAGGTAATGACTTAGAGAGAGTTCTACAGGAGACTCAGACTTTAAAATACTTAGATTAATCAATAAAAGAAGTCCATGGCCATACCACCCTGAACGCGCCCGATCTCATTTGATCTTGGAGGTTAAGCAGGGTCAGGTTAGTACTTGGATGGGAGACCGCCTGGAAATACCGGGTGCTGTAGGCTTTTAAAAATTATAAAATTTAGAAAAAAAAAAAAAAGAAATTAAAGCAAAAGATGAGGAGTGGGAGAATGTCAACAGAAAATTAGGAGCTATAAAAAATCAGGTGGTGCTGGGCGCAGTGGCTCACACTTGTAATCACAGCACTTTGGGAGGCCGAAGTGGGATGAGGTCAGGAATTCAAGACCAGCCTGACCAACATGGTGAAACCCTGTCTCTACTAAAAATGCAAAAATTAGACAGGCATGGTGCCTGTAATCCCAGCTACTCAGGAGGCTGAGGCAGGAGAATTGCTTGAACCTGGGAGGCGGAGGTGGCAGTGAGCCGAGATCCCACCATTGCACTCCAACCTGGGTGACAGACTAAGACTCTTGTCTCAAAAAAAAAAATTATGTAGACATTCTTAGTTTGAAATTTTTTAGAAATCTGAAATTATAAACTATTTATTTGATTTTAAAGGCAGATAGAACAAAGGAGAACACAAAGCTTGTGAAGTCAAAAACAGGTCCCTAGAAAATATTAAATATAAAAGCAAAGTATTAGAAAAATAAACAGAAAAAAATCAAGTGTTTAAGATATGTATTGGACACAGTTAAAAACAAAACATGGGTGTAACTGGATGTCCCAAAGAAAAGAGAAAGACATTGTGGCAGAAATTATATTTTAAATGACAGTGATAGAATTTTCAAACTCAAAAACACATCAGTCCAAATATTAAGTAAAATGATTGAACTCAATACAAGATATGTGTGATAAGATTATCAATAAACACCGCATAGTTCACTTACTAAAAAAAACAAAATACATGCAATTGGAAAGAGAATTTGTAAACTAAAAGGTAGGTCAGAAGAAAATACCCAAATTGACATACAGACAGTTAAGAGGATGGAGAATACAGAAAGGGCATGAGAGATTTATCGGACACAATAAAAATATTTACTCAATGTACAGAAAGATAAGAGAAGAAAATTGGACTAAAACAATATTTGAAGAGAAAATAGCCAACAATTTTTCAGATTTAAGAAATGCTAGAAACCTCCAGAAGGATAAACACATTTCCGTTTTATAAGGAAGCATTATAAAGTTTGGATAATTGAGGTTTCATCACATTTTTATGGAATATTAGAAATGGAAGAGGCCTGAGAGATAAACTAAATATAACCCACTGATTTTATAGAAGTAGCAGCTTGAGGGGTCTACCAGTAAATAACTTGAGAGTAAGACAGAATAAGAGCTCTTAAATTCAAATTAAGTGATATTTTCACTATACAAGACTTTCTTTCCTATTTAATTTTCTTAAATCAACAGCATTATCAGAAGATAGAGATACAGTCTATCATTTTAAATATAGATTTTCCTAAACTACTTTTTAAATCTTTCTTGTTGACTTTCATAATGTCAGGAATATTGATAGTGAAAAAAAGTAATATTATGTCAGTCACTATTTAAGATCACATTAGAGGCAGATCAGGGACTATATTTCAGGTCTCTGAACTTTCAAGAACAGAGTGTTTTTCACATCCAGGTTTGTTTTTTATGTTGGCATTTGAGCACTGCAACCTCAACCAAAAACCACTGTTCGTTTGCCTTCATTTTTAGCCTTAGCAATTATTTGTTATGTGATCCATACACTTTCTAATCTAATTCTCTATATTATGTGAAAGCGGGGTGGAGGAGTACAGAAACACAGGTGGAGAAAGGAAATATGATTTGTTGATAGCAGACATCTACCTTTTGTCTACCTTTGTTTTCTTATTTCTTACAGTAATAGACCCCTCCACTCTCCTGGATGTAAGAATGAATACAGGGCTAAGCTATGGCAAAAAACAGTACATCTCCCTGTTAGGACAGCAACTGGTCCAGGGTTGAGAACTTTACTCAAGCTTGGAATATTAGCCTTCTTCCAGGACTTTTAAATTGAGAACACCTACTCTCCAGTCATGAAGTGATGAGCTTATGATCCCAGGAACTGGGATAGCACACAGCATTTCAGCCAGCTTGAGAAAATGAAGCCACTGTTTAGAACGAAGCACAGAAGGAGAAGGAAGAGAATAAAATGGATTAGAGCCTCTAGTTCTATGTTTCATCTTCTCTGTCCTTACCATAATTAATTTGCCAATGAATTTACCCTTTTGCCTAACAAACTCAAATTGAGTTTCAATCACTTTCATTTCAAAGATTTTTGATTGATGCAGAGATTTGTACAGATGGTCCCCAAGTTTTGGCTCAACTTATAATTTTTCAACTTTACAATGATGCAAAAGCTACATGCATTCAGTAGAAACCATACTTTGAATTTTTATCTTTTCCGAGGCTATGGATATGAGGTAATAATCTCCTATGATGCTGGGTAGCAGTAGTGAGCCACAGCTCCAAGCCATTTGATCATGAGGACTGAAAATGATACTGCACTCTATCATATGCTATATTCAATAAATTACATGATATATTCAACACTGTATTATATAATAGTCTTAATGTTAGATGATTTTGCCCAACCATAGGCTAATGTAAGTGTTCTGAGCACATTTTAAATAGGGTGAGCTAAGCTATGATATTTGGTAGTCTAGGATATTATGAATATATAACGGCTTATCAGAGAGGTAAGTCTAGGATTAGCTATACTTAGAATTGAAATCTTATTGATTACAGACTTTTAAATGTGGAACTTGCTGAAACAAGATGGGATGGGGACAATGTAAATCACTCCATCCCTATCTGGGTGTACGATATGCCTGTTATGTAGTGTAGTAGTTTGAATGGTGCTTCCAAAAATTCATATCCACCCGAAACCTCAGAATATGGCCTTGATTGGAAACGGGGACTTTGTGATGTAATTAAGTTGAGGTCATACTGAATTACAGGGGGTCCTAAATCAAATGACTGGTGTCCTTATCAGAAGAGGAGGGTGCACACAGAGACACAAGGAAGAGGCATAGGAAGATGGAGGCAGAGACTGGAGTGATGCAGCTACAATCCAAGGAAGCCAAGGATTGCGAGAGCCGCCAGAAGCTAGGAGGAGGCAAGGAAGTATTATAGACTGCAGGAAGATGCAGGAGAGAAATATGCTTTAGTTAAAACCGACTCATCTGAAGAAGACTGAGAATAGCCGACTCATCAAACAGATGACAGATGTAGGTTTTGTGGCTCTGACAATTGCACAGTTTGGAAAGCCCATTTAACTAAAAGAATACAAATTTAGATACTAAAGTAAATATTTACTTAGAAAACACACAAAAATAAGTTACAACATTTTAAAAGTTAATACAACAAACATCACGATTTCAAAAATTTAATAAATTACTCTTGTTATTAGTGTCATCATTAACTGCCTGATACAGCTTTATAATATTTATTCTACATTTTTTTTTGGCTGGATATTCTTTGAGAAGTTCTTTAAGGAGCAATGATTTTTTTAAATATTTTCTCTAGGGAGGATAGAAAAATAACCGAGTCTTTAATATCATTTATTGAAATTTATTTTTCATTATTTAAATTTAGAAAATATTTTTCCATTTCACATCTAGTTATTGAATTTTGCTGCTTCTAAATACCTCCAGTTTCTTGCTTACATGACTTTTTGTCTGGAAACAAGCCCTCGGAGAATCCCAACCCTTTGATTTAGCAGAGTATGCCTGCCCCCAACATTTTCACACGCACACACACACACACACAGAGACACACACACACAATTTCTGCAGCATCTGGTCTAACTTGTCCAGATTTCACTTATTTTTTTTTTCACTCCTTCAAGTCTGGGATTTGTGATGTTAAATAGCTATGAAGCCTAATTCTTAGTTTCCAGGCGGAGATGAGAGCCAGGAGTAATTCAAGCTCTTCTCATTGGGGTTAAAAATAAGGTCCAGATACTTGATTAGGTTAACCAATGGTTGTTCCTGGAGGCCAGGAGAATGTAGACGTAGTGCTGATAGCCTGCTCTCGATCCATCTATAGTGTAAAAACACCACCAGGCCTAAGGCTATGACCTTTAAGCTGGGGCAGCCCATTTGCTAATGTACAGCCATGGCTGCTACTTACTTATTCCCCAAACGGATGGTATAAGTAAGAAGCACATGAGCTTAAGCTTCTTTAGCTTCATGATACATCCACCTCTGCATAGAGCTTGGGTTAGGATAGGCCCATTTTGCCATTGACTGGTGATCCTAGATAGTTGAACAATCAGGAACTATGCTGACAGTAAAGCTGAATTTTCTACCTTCACAATATCCGATGCTTCATGATCTTCTCTGCTGTCCTTTTACCAAGACTAACTTCATTGTTACCTCTTCTTTCTCCCTCTGATTTATTCTCTCCCTGTACATCCAGTAATTACCTCTGCTTATTTGCAATATTTCACTTATATCATGGCCTTGACATTTATTAGTTGTTTGGAGTTTTTTTTTTCAGTTGAAAACACACACACACACACACACACACACACACACACACACACCAAAAAAAACTCAACTCAAGCTTCCAGAAAAAGAAATTTGGTGGGTTATTATCTCTGGAACATTTAGAGGTAGAGTAGGCGTCATGCAGCTCAGTCAGGTCTGGCTGTGTTTCTCTGTGATTCTCCTGGCATTACCCTTATCCAAGGGCTGGCTTCATCCTCAGGCTGATTTTCCCCCTAATCACAAGGTGGTAGCTGCCTGAAGCAGCAGACCCTACATGCTCCCTCTTTTATGATTAAGCAAAAAAGATTATAAGCATCCCAGAACCACTCAACATTTCTGAGCTTTGTGCAGAAGCCACTCTTAATAAAAGAGTGTCATATAGGTTTATGCCTTGGTTGCATGCTCCCTGCAGAACCAATAACTATACTAAATGATTTTGAATTGTCCCTGGACTTGGCTATGGAATCAATTCCACACAAATATTTAATCTCCTGGCTGCTACACAGTGGGGAATGCTTAGATGTTGGGGATGCAAACAAAATGTCCATTATAATCACAGTGTATTCTCTTTTTATAAAACTGTGAGATCCTAGAAGATAAAACCATGAGATCCTGGAAGATAGAGACACTATTGATTCACCTCTGTATCTTAAGGTCCTAACCTATGGCTGGCATACAGTCAATATTAACAGCCACCTGAAAGAACGAACAAATGAAATAATAATTGATTCTCCTCAAAACAATATTTGTCAGCAACCATTTCTGTAATTCTTAAAGAATATTATAATTGTAATAACCCCATTCTCCATGGTTACAATTTTTATTAATTGCTTCCTGGGTCTCTCATTTGATTTCAATACATTGCCGATTATTTTTAGAGCTGCCATTAACACAGATTTCAATCGCTGTCCTGTTTTCCCCTTGAGCAGTGAAGTGGTTGCCATGGAAACAGAATCCAGTGCCTCCTTCTAAAGCCTCACATCAATGCAATTTGATGAGAGGAACTAACACACTACCTCGTACCTGTATTTTATAAGTCTGAAGATCTATTGCCTGTAAAAGATGCAAGTCATTACTGGGATAAAGCATCCTTGATGAAGCATGGATTTGACAACTTGTCCAAAAAGATGTATCAGAGCTCTCATCTGGAAATAATGCCCTAATCAGTGTAGGAGAAAGGTTTTAATGCTTGAATTGACTAAAAATGTGAAGTCACAAGGTAGATTTTATTTAAAGGTGGGAGGAGGAATAATTTTAATTGGCACCACTCATACAGCACAAAGTCACAGACAAGTAGCCTTTCTCGAAGTCCCATGGTGATTATTTGGGAAGAAGCCTGGTTTCCCTAAACTCAACCCTATACAAAAAACTGGATATGAAGTCTAATCCAGGTAGAATGGGGGTAGGGAGAGGGAGTAGCTTCCCAGGTCTGGATGAGGTAGCTCTGTCAGCCAAGGGAAACTCTTTGGAGAATGTCGCTGGTCTAGATCTCAGCTTCTGCACTCTGAGCAGCTGGGAGAAGTGTATACCGGTTACCTGGGCAACTCTGTAGCAAACCAACAGCATCAATTACATATACTTATAAAGAATTCATCACCAAATTTTTTTATCACCTTCATGAGGCCTTTATAGAAATGATTCACAGGAGGGTCTAGTTACAGGAAGGTCTAAGACCAGATCCTAAATTCTCAGCTGGGATAAATTTGAATAGACCAACCGTTGACCTTGTCAGCATGCTGGAATATTTTATTTTGTGGCTGGATGTGCTGTGATGAAATTTTCTATCATGTCATGAGATGTTTGCATAGAGTAGCCTGTATATCCCTGAGAGCAGCCTGGATTGACCCAAAGACATGGTCTAGGAGAAGCCAGGATAAGGCCGGTACAGGTGACAAAGGCGCCTGGGGAGGCAGGATTGGAGGAGGTTATAATACTAGGGCCAACTGTACCCACAGGGACCTAAAGCATAGGGACCCAAGCAAAGCAGATATAATGAGCCGAAGAGCTATAGCCAAGTAATCATAAAAGCAGTATTGAATCCTAGAAACGGGCAGGTAACAATGAGCTAATATGCCAGAAACAAAGCTGGAAAGGTACATGTACAGACTGGAAAAGGATTAATAAGCTGAGATCAGTATCAAAGGGCCGAGGCAGCTGATGAGACTGGGCTGTAAGAACAGATGGCATCCTATCCAGTAGATTTCATTGCAGTAGATTTTTTCCCAGTACAATGTTTTAACAAAAGGCTTCCTCCTCGTTTTGTTTCATTTTTTATTATCTGCTTGCTTGGTTTACAATCATGGCCCTATCAAGACTGTATTTTTGAAGATAACAATCAGTATATCTACTCTTGGTCTATGTATTCTTGGTCTCTATATAAAAAGGAAGATTATCCATGAGCTAGATCACAGCTGATTCTCCCAGTTGTTCTGGCTGCCACGGTTTTTTTGCTTGCCTTCATGTCAGCCGCATACCAGCTATCCCCAAGGAAATGTCAGCGGTAGTTATAGGAACCATCCCATCCTGTTTCAAAAAATCAGGTCAGTGTTATTACAGGAGTTGGTTTCACATACCACCAGGTTTAGAAATATTTTTTTTCTGTCAAAACATGCACAGGCTTCCTAACACTGAATAAGAA